CTTCTTCTTCTTCTTCTTCTTCTTCTTCTTCTTCTTCTTCTTCTTCTTCTTCTTCTTCTTAACCCATCACCCATTTCTTCTCTCTATACTTTCTATTCAATGTAGAAGTGTTTTAAGTAATTTCTATTTTGGTTTTATAACACTAGGTAGGAATTCTTAGAGCAACATCTAAGCCATATCTCATAACATAACATCCTTGTAAAAGTGTGTCACCCACCCCAAACTTTAGCCCACCTTATGACGTCGCGTGGCTTCACATAGTTCCCCTACAAGTAACACGCACATAAGTCCCACCTTATACCACTGCATGCATATTAATACCAAGCCTTATACCATCGTATGTGCGCCAATTTCACATCACAATAACAACTCACACCACAAGTGCCCATATATGTCATAACTTCCCAACAATCAACAATATCAATATTTCTACAACGATAGCCCATGGCTTCCCCATAACGTGTACAAGAATATCAATAACAACAATGAATGTAAAATGCTCATAAAGAAAGATGTCTCAACAACAACAATTTTGCCTTAACGTGTGAACAACTTTCACAACTTCAAAACCCAATAACTCAACAATGAGAGAGATAATGTATAACCACGATATTAGACAAGACTAACTTTCAATAAAAGAGGTAATGTATAACAATGACTTCAAATAATAGAAATCAACAATGAAAGAGATAACATGAACAATAACGATAATCAACAATAAAGGGATAGTATGTAACAATAAAAGAGGCAACAAGTTCAACTAAGGCATGAGATCAATTTATTAATTAAGGTGTAGAACAAGTTTTAACGAAATCATTTTAAGTCATGTAAGGATAGATTAACACAAGTAAGAATAGATCGACCATGATGAATTAGAACATGATATGACAATTTAATTAAAGCATGGAAAGAGTCTAAGTAGCTTAAATCGGTCAAATACCACGTACAACCCGTGTACCCACTCATCACCTTACATACACAGCTTTTATATAGCACAAATGAATCAATCAATACCAATACTAAGGGGTAGTTTTTCCATACAAAGTTAGGCAAGATACTTACCTCAACTAGGCTAATTTAACCCTCGGAAATAGCTTTTCCCCTAAAATTTGCCTCTACACAGCTCAGATCTAACCAAAATCGACTTAATTTCAACAAACAAAGCTAGGGAAATCAATTAAAATAGATAAAGCTAAGATCTTTACACTTTTTCCAAAAAGTCAACCGGGGGCCCGCCCTATAAAAACTTAGGCCCAATGGTAGATTTTGACTACCCATGATCCCACGAGTTCATATAGGTAATTATTTTAAAAATTCGAGTCCAAATCGATTCTGAAAATTCAATTTCTTATTTTTCAAAAACTTGACAAAGTTCCACAAATTTTCACTTTGATTCACATGACTTTGATGTTAAAATCTAAGATATGTTAATGGAATATGATTAAAAATAGATCACAATCACTTACCCAAAGTTTGTAAGTGAAATTTTCCTCTCCAAATTGCCTCTTACCGAGTCTACGGTTAAAAAAATGAGAGAATGTTTTCAAAAATCTTGTCTCCCAGTCCTTTGTAACAGCTGCAGACGTCGCATTTGCGACACAATATGAACCCTCACAATTGCGGACCAGGGCTCGCATTTGCGAACCCTGACAGCCTAAGTCATCATCGCTTTGCGAGAAAAGGTTTCGCAATTATGAAGCTGGAAACATCACAAAAGCGAACAAATGTTCGCAATTGCGAACTTAGTCCAAATCCCACTGACTTTGCAAATGAGAAGGGGAAGTCGCAATAGCGACATCTGAGCTCACACTGTCACCTTCGTAATTGCGAGGCTGATGCTCGCAATTGCGATAACTGAGCATCAGTAACACATTTTTAGTTCAAAACCATTCTGATACATGTCCGAACCTCATCGAAGCCCTCGGGGCTCCAAAACAAACATCCACACAAGTCTAAAAATATCATACTAACTCGCTCGAACGATTAAAGCACAAAAATAACATCTAAAACTATGAATTGAACTCTAAAACGCATGAATTTCAAAGTAAAGTTCAAGAATCTCTAGAATTACAACTAAACGTCTTAATCCTACCAAATCAACCCCAAATGGTATCAAATTTCGCAAACAAGTTCTAAATATTATAACGGACCTATTCCAAATTGCAAAAATCACATTCCGAGCTTGATAGTTCAAAGTCAACCTACGGTTAAACTTTCCAACTTCAAATTACCAAATTTCGGCAAAATAACATATATCAACCTACGGACTTGCGAAATCAATTTCGGGCATACGCCCAAGTCCGAAATC